GTGGAGTACTTTATCCACTGCGCCACAGGGCTCCTAAATATAGATCAGTACCTTTAAAAATGAACAATGGTAAAAGCCTTGAAATTTTTTTCTTTGATGTGAATGGAGCCTTTGGCATTTGGAAATACAATAAGATGAATTAATTGCTACCCATTAGACTGGGAGTCAGGTGGAGTATGAATGTGCCTTCTCTCCTCGGCATTAACTGTCGCCTGACTGAAATAGCCCCCTTTTGTATTTACTCCTGCCTTCTCTAATAATAAGGAAATTAGAGATCATGGCTAGAAAAATTCAAGTGCCGTCCATCCTTTCTCCAAAGCCTTCGTGTGATTTTGCGATGTTTATCTTCTCAGGGGCTACAGCTAATAATTGCAAAGGTCATGTGGATCCACATAGTGCAAGATTAGAAGCAACATCTGCAAAATTACTTCTTAGGAAACTATTTGGTGTTTTGTCTTTCTCTGAAAAAGTGATTTTGCAAGCAAATTGCTGTCTTTCCTCCCTTGCACTATATTTTTATATTGCTGGGGAAAGTATATTTGGAGGAAACCATTTAAGAGCTGTCAAGAGTTTTTTAATCTGTGGTCTTTTTTTTTTTTTGACTTTACATATTTTTCCTGATGCATTGGTAGCCTTCCATATGAATAAGTTAGTTGGGAGTCTTATATTTATTCTGAAATGATGGCTATGAATAAACTGTTTGGAATAAATTGATTTAGTATTGCCATTCATTAAAATTCTAGATATGGCAGTTATAATATATTGTATATTAAACATGTTATTTTTTATATTATGTTTAAAATTTGTTTATGGTTAATGTCTAAATTATGACATAATTGATTTCCCAGAATAATCAAAAGCTAGGGAAGCAAAGGGGAGAGAGGGAACAAGACTTCCATAATATCCAGAGACTGATTCATAGAAAGTCCCTGAGCCGTGTGCATTTGTAATATTGCTGCCTTCCTGTCATGTATCTTACATGTAGACATTTTCCAAACAGTATGTACTTTTCAACTATAAAAAGGAGCCAGTTAATGGAACAGAGAGTTGTGGCAGTAGCCATGCTGTGCTTCATGAAATATGAAAGCCTGTTTACCTAGTAACAGTAACAATTTGAGCTTCAGGCCCAGGAGTTTATGTGTGACACAGCCTGCTGGACTGTGTGTGGCTAGGGTGGTGAAGCCATTGACAGTGGAGGTGTGCCAGAAATAAGATAGTGAAGAAAGTGGGGTAATGAGGCATGCACCCTGAGCTCAAGAGCTTTATCATCTTTACTCTCAGGTTATATGGGCCGTTTGGTCTCTGCACCCATCCCCTTTCAACAGTCTCTAGACCCATGTTTCCTGATACAGAAGTACTTTCCGCATTCCAGGTCATGGGCTTGGGTTCGAGTTCAGTTGGAAAAGGGAGATTTTACCATTTCTTTTGCCACCCCCCAAACCTTCAGCTGTTTGGAGGCCTCATTTTTTGTAAGTGTAAGAATGGAGAGACATAAAATCAGTAAGAAAGAGTCAGTGCGAACTTGTCCAAGCTTTTTCCTGGAACACATTTTTCTTGTTCATACATGATCGTATGTACACACACACAGAGTATTTCCTATACCTGGTAGCGCAGTGGTTAAGCACTCATCTACTAACCGAAAGGTTGGCAGTTCGAACCCACCAGCAGCCCCTCAGGAGAAAGATGTGGCAGTCTGCTTCTGTAAAGATTTACAGCCTTGGTAACCCTATGGGGCAGTCCTACTCTGTCCTGTAAGGTCACTATGAGTTGGAACCAACTGGAGGGCATACAACAACAAAACCCTATAGAGTGTAATGCATAGAATTGACTTAATTACACTTGGTCAAAATAAAAGTTTAATGTGTTCATCCTTTGTAAATCTTATCCACATCTCAGAAGTGTTGATGTGAAAGCATCTTAGAATAAAATTAATATGGTATACAAATGTAGCATGTTTTTAAATTTACTTAAGCTTCAGTTATTTGGGTAGTTAGCCTGCCCCGCCTTGTTTAGTCTCAGGGTGAGCAGTGAGAATCGACTGGAATGTTCAAATGTCCAGGATATTAGACCAGAGCAACACAGAGAAGCAATTTGCTCAGGTCCGACATTTAGAGTTATAATTTCTTCAAAGCCAGGCATGTGTCTCTGGGCTGAAAATGACAATTTAGAGATCCTTCCATTGAACTCTCTTAGCTTGGCATCCTTCTGTACTCCCATTTCAGGATAAGTGGGTCTACAGCCAAGCTCTCAGTTCTGATTTCGAGATATCCCTGGTGGTACTTATCATCTCCAGGGTTACTTCAGATTTTAAGCAAAAATTTCTAATCCTTTTAATTTTCAAATGTGTATCATATGTAAAGGGCAGGTGTTATAAAATTAAATGAGTAGTCAGAGTGTCTCTGCAACAAAAGGTAGGAAATCACTGGTATAGACTTTTTAGTCCATTTGCAGAAAATTGCCTATTCTCAAATAGGTCAAGTGCAGAAAGAACCTTTACTTGAGATAAAATTTCCTCTCCACACTTGGCTTCCTCTCTGTTAGGACAAGCAGCTGAGAGCTGTCCAATTTTTAACATCTTGCTATCTTTCTCATTAGTAGGTTTTTGGCTATACGTATTAAGATGTTTTTGCTTATAATGGAACTCACACTCATAGCTTCAAATATTTTATTCTGGGCTGTAGAGAATAAAGTGAAACTCTTTGTTTTGTAGGTAAAGAAATTTACGGTAGACAGTGTTAAATGATTTGCCGAAGGCAATGCAGCTCATTAATGTCAGGGACAGGTTTGGAACCAGGTCTCCTGACTCTCCTCAGCAAGCACAGCTTTTACTGTTATAGAGCAAGTCCATGGTATAGAAGCAGTTGTTTTGCTCTCTGGCTTTTGAACTTTCGTTGTCATTTAGGTACCTGCTAGAATGCTGGGTAACGAGAGAACCAAACCTTATTGTTTTAACAAAAGAAAAAGATCATGTTCTCAGTTTGTGTGTGACATAAACAACAAAGAGGGTTACTTTTCTCCTTTCCCTCACTGACTGATATCCCTGTTAAAAAATGAAAATAGCAAACTTTTGTAAACATTTTGAAGAATTTTTCACTAAGCCTAGCAAAGGTTAACATTTCAAGCAAGTCTGATAGAATAAAGTGGGTTTATGGAGATGCGAGGAACTAATTTCCATTTGGACCTGGACTTTGTATTCATGAATTGTCCCACCCAAGTGTACATAAATGTACTCTGTATTGGACAAGCAGAATCGCCCCCCATGTCATCAACATTTCATAAACATGGGGCCTCAGATCTGTGAGAGGCCCCATAATGTTCTTTTGGAATTGAGCCAAGCCTGCAAGTCTTTTGTTGTTACCCCTCTGAATTCAGTCAGCTAAGCTGGCAAGAAGTCTCAGCTGCCATTTTCCAAACTCCCCTAGCCTGAGCCCCAGAGAAGCTGTAAGGCTTCCTCCACACAAGTAAGGCTCTATTGGTCATACTTATGCCATTACTTCAGTTTTAGAAGTCACCTTGAGAGCATTTACAACCCCTGCTTACAGCTTGTTAAGTGGCTTGGGGCTGGAGTCCAAAGTGACTGGTCCAAAGACAAACCAGTGAGTTCATATTAATATCAGTGTTCTTTGTCCAAGTGTGAATGGAGCCATGTTTTCTGGATTATACCCAGATTGCCCTCTGAGGAGATAGATGGGATGTCAAGGGAAGCCACAGGACTGTGGATTCCCTGAGACTACGAGGTCTACATGCTTAGGGCTCAGTTCACCTTTAGGGCATGTGCATGTTCCCCATCAGTTTAATTCATAAAACTCCATCTACTTCAAGATTTGTCTTTCTCTGGCACCCTCAAGACCTGAAATGTTTTCAGAACTAAAGAAAATTATTACCCGAGGAAGCTAGGTCTAGGGTAGAAGAGTCGACAGATTAGCAGGGGGAGCTTCAACTTGAAGAATGCCATCTGATGAACAGGAGAGAACAGAAACAGCAAGAGCATCACTCAAGTTCCCCACCCCCCAGGACCGTTCTTTGGGGACCAGTAATCCCTCATCCTTCCAGGGCCCTCCAAGTGTTATTCAGCAGCAGCACATACAGTTACAGACGTTCATAATGATGGTGTGTGTCACTGAAAAGCTGTTACCTGATACTCATTTTTTTCTGTTGAGGGCCAGATAAATATATAAAATATTATAAAAACTTACTCATGTATTAGGCTTTTTTCCAAGGGCCAGTGTAAGCGTTTTGAAAATTCAAATTGTGCTCCTTGCCAGTTGTGGGGCAAAGTGGTGCACCCTCCCCCACCCCACCCCCAACTTTGGGACCACCTAATAGATCTTTCTTAGAAACCCCTAGTAGCTGTAGGCTTTGATTTTTTTTTTTTAACTTTTCCTTTTGACCTTGCCGTTGGCACCTCAGTATGTTTATTCATCACCTTAGGTTAAATATGTAAACCTTGAAAGCAGCCTCTCAGCTGATACTCAGTCTTAACCAGAAGCTTCCCTTGACCCTCACCTACTCTCTAAACTCCTGAATGGCAGTTGGGGAGGGCGCAGTTTTAATTTGGTGTCACCATTTTGTACCTGCTTTAATGTTAAAGGAAGAAGGATTCCAGGCCTGGCTGATAGTAGAGACCTTCTGTTAGCAGCCAGGAGCCTTTACATGTTTACCAAGCATGAAACCCTACCTGTGCCAGCAGGGCCTGCCTCACACCTGGGGTCTGGCCATTTTTCCATCTGTACTGGGAAAGCCACAGCACCCGCTCAAAGGAGTTGGGGGTAGCTTTTGATTGTTGCTGTTATTGAGTACCCTTCGTGGTAATTGCCCTTCTAGATAGCTATCTGGATCCTATATTTTCCTATAATGTGGGGGGAAGAACCATACTCTCATACACATTTTATTGTACCCAACTATTATGTGTTTGCATACCTATATACTTTTTAACTGAAGAAGATTAACCCTGCCTTTGTACACAATCATTTTAACAAACTGTTTATTGTTGTATCCAGGTAACAAGCATGGTAAGTATTTTCGCCAAATTGAGAATTCTGTATTTTAGCTGTGCTTGGCAGACGTTTTGGCTAGCTTTGTGTTATCAGCCTTGGCTTTTCTAGAAGAGACTCGTTTAGGAAAAGGAGAAACCACTTGCCTGTAGAATCTTCTACGTCCTTGATTTTAGAAAGAACCCATGTAGCCGCAGACCCCCGGCGGGGATACTGAGCATGCGCCCGCCAGCATGCGCTTGGCCCTGCCCTCCAGCCGCGTCCACCCACTGCTTCTGAGCCGCCACTACCTATTGTGTCTGCAGGCCTTCCAGGCCTCGCGTGACTCCAGCAACTCGTAGAACTGTGGCCGTGTGACAGCGTCCACACGTAGGGCTGCCTAGCGCTCTGTGGATGGTCTCATCCCCAGTCCATACCCACATCTCTTCTCCTACCCCTCTTCCCATCTGTATGCTTAAACGCAGGACCTTTATTTTTCCCTTGAGTGTGTTAAGTAATTGATGGAGAAATCTCCTTCTGGAAGCTGAAGATAGATACGTACGCTGTCCATTCTTTTCAGAGGCTTCCCATTTTGTTGGAAAGTGCAGTTAAAAATATTTTTTTTTTGTATCTTGCCGTCGGATATTTTCAGCCAACGTTCAGAGCTGTGGTAGGCTGAGTATGTTTTAGCCTTCTGGCTGTATTTATTCACCAGTGCATGTTTGCTGTTCTGGCCTTTTTTGTGGCTCTATATTTTAGTCCATGTGCTCGTGGCTGTGCCTGTTTAACCTGCATGGTGGTCATGCCTTATGTATTAAGTCAATGTGTCACTGTCACATTCAAGGATCAGACTGCAAAGGATAAGGCCCTGCAACACATGGCAGCCATGTCCTCAGCCCAGATAGTCTCAGCCACTGCCATTCACAACAAGCTGGGGCTGCCTGGGATTCCACGCCCGGCCTTCCCGGGGGCACCGGGGGTAAGTCACACTCTGAAGCCAGTGGTGATGGCTGCTAGGGGTGATGGGGTCGGCACGAACCAGCATTAAACTTTCCACCTAGCACTACTTGTAAATTGGGTCAGTGTAAAGGAGGGAAAATGCTGGGTGCAAAATGGTAATGATAAGGGAGGGAGCAGAGGAGGTGAATCTGGGGAGGAGAGGGAAGAGGGATGAGAGAAGGAGGGAAAGAGGGAAGAGAGGAAGGAAGAAAAAGAGGCAGAGAAAGAAAGAAAGGGAGAGGAAGAGAGGAAGAAGGGGGATCTTTCATCCCTGAAGACATGGAATAAAGTATCACTTTTCCAGTGCCTTTCTGGGTCATGATCTGCCTTATCCTCTCTTCTTCCTGGCCCGTGGTCTCTGTCTCTGTTCTCAGGGTCACCTTAGGGCAGCTAGCCACTAAGGGGACAAAGTAATCTATTAACATTTTCATTTGACACCTACCAAGGGCAGATGCTTATAATATCTAATTCTTAGAATAATCTAAATGCATCTTACTATTATTGCCATTTTACAGACCAGGAAACTGAAGTTACTTAGTAACAAAATAAGAGGTTGAATAACTCGACCGTAGTCACATGGATAGTGAAGCAGGATTCAAACCCAGGCTGTGTGACTTCAGAGCCTGTGTTTTCTCCCTTTGCATCATGCTGCCTCTCTGGCAGGGGGATGGCAGGCACCAGAGGCCCTAAGGATGCACACAGCAAAGGAGGTGTCTGCGTTGCTTCTCTGAGTTCCTGGTCCTCTTGTTCTGAGCTTCGTCCTCGACCCTATGGGCCTTTCATGCTGTGAGCTGGAGGAGCTTCAGAATGGAGGGAGGAAGAGAAGGATGAGTGGGTGCATGGATAAAGCAGTCAGATGCTCAGATCTCTGCTAGGTGCAGTGAGGACACGGAAGAATTGATGCCTGGGCTGTGTCCTCAAGGGGGTTTTCAGGAAAGAGGAGCTAAAGGGAGCCTTGTGTTGCAGGCCAAGGATGTACATCTTGATCTTATGGACAGAGGTGACCACATCTACGCTTGGAGAAGGTGGATCAGGCAGCTGGTGGGTGGTTGGAATCTGCTGTTCTTTAGACGGGTTGCAATGCTTAGACCTCCTGAACTGTTCTTTGAAATGAACTGATCATCCTGAAGCCTCTTGCACTTTCCCTTCCAGTTTTGGCCCGGAATGATACAAACAGGGCAGCCGGGATCCTCACAAGAGTAAGTCTGAGGAGAGGCTGGTCACAGCCAGGTGGAGGTGGGAGGACTCCCATGGGCCAGACTGCAGAAAGGAGGTTTAACCTGTGATCACCCAGCCCTGCCCTTTGTTATCTGCAGAGCTAGTGCTACTGATGCCGATATCAAGAAAGAGGTTGACCCCTCAGATGTGGGAGCTGTTTAAACACCTCACTCCCACCTCCAGTACTAGAGAGAAAGCATTTCTAGCGGTCCTGCAGCTGGAAGCAGGAAGTCCATCCCTGTCCCTCGTGCCTGTGGAGGGCAGAGTCGGGGGTCTTCCTGGGAAGGGCCTTGTCTGAGAAGGGACAGCCAGGGATCCTATAGCCCATTCCATTCTGTCTTTCCCTGTGGTAGGAGCGGCTAATAGGAAATCCTACTGATGATCTGAGGACAAGGGAGGCAAAGCTCAGTAAATTGGAAGATAAGAGCAGTTTGAGGATAAAAGCAGGAGGGAAATCCTGTCTCTTGTCAAGAGTTTTAAGCTATTTGGCCAAGAGAAGAACAACCTGAAGCATGTCCCCAACCTTGCCTGGAAATGATGACTGCAGACCTTGGTCTCTGCCAGGGCGAGAAGTTCAAAGACAGATGTCATAGCACGTGGAAGTCAGGCTGCTGTCTGTCCAGCCTGTCCCACATAGCCTGTGTGAGGTTTGATGCCTAGCACCTCACCGGCCCCTGGCACTGGGAGAGAGCTCTGTCTGGGACTTGTTAACCACCTGCAGGCAGGGAACCTTACAGTCTGGGAACCTCAGGTCAGGACTCTAGCCATGGGAGGCCCAGGCCTGGTTAGTAGCCGCTGATGCAGTATTGGTTTCTGACTCTGACCTCTTTGTTCCCAGCGTCAAGCCCTTTGTGCAGCAGGCCTACCCCATCCAGCCAGCAGTCACGGCCCCCATTCCAGGTGAGTCTTGGTGGGACCCCTCTCAGGAGTGGCCCCATGCAGCTGATAGTTGAGCCCATCGCCTTGTTCCCAGAGTGGAAAAATGCTCGTCTTGGCCACAGGTTTACCTCTCCTTTCTTGCAGACTCATAGATGCCCCCTCCTTGCCCCATCCTCCCTAAAGCAGGGGTTAATCTGGAGCTCAGGAAGTCACAGGGGTGTCCCCTGCCACATCCTGATTCACTACAGTCATCTCCCGAGAGCTCTTCAGATGGGCTTTTAAAGAAACAGGAAGCCTGATCACTTTCACTTAGGACATGTGATAAGCCTTAGAAGGGGAAATTGCCATGGCTGCTTCCTCATCATAAATAAAGGCAGAATTGGGCAAGTCTTGGCTCTAAGTCTTGAGGGCAGATGTGGTTTTATTCACCCTTTCTAAGACAAATGTATTTCAATTTCTAGTACTCTTTTTATAAAGGAAAGCTTACGTAGAAGCTCAAACCACGAAGCATGACTCTGACCAGCCCACCTCTGTCTCTGTCCCCACCACATGTGCACCCCACACGTGCATACACTCGTGCTTGTAGAGTTGCTCAGTAGAACTGCCCAAGGTACATTATAAAGACCGCTGCTCTCCCTTATAGATTCCCCAAACTGAAAGTGCATTCACATATTGCCCTCTGCTCCACTACCATGGCGTATTTGGAGAGAACATCCTGCAGTGCTGGTGGCCACAGTCATATGGAAGGACATGGACAGACAGAAGGAATACCCAGCATGTCAGGGGCTCACAAGCAATCTTTGGAAGCATCCACTTCTGACTGTTCAGTCACTGTTGACTTGGTCCAGGACTAGGTAGCCTCTTGTTGCTGTAGTCTCCTTTTAGGCAGTCAATATAGTTTCCCTCCTATCTGGACATGCCATAGCCCGTAACCTTAGCTGAAGTTGCTTTATGAGGAGCACATGTGTTGTTCTTCTCTGGCTGGTCACTGTCTGGGATCCTCGGTCAGAATCCCACCACTGTCTAACTTAGTTCCACAACTAGGTGCTAGTGAACCGAAGGGTATTGGCCTTTCCTCCTAGCTCATCGTTTTGTAAAGAGCCCTGCCCACTATTGGCCCCAGGCCCAAAGTGAGGTGAGTGGTCAGGATTAAAGTGACAATTGGTCCTTTCAGGGTTTGAGCCTGTGTCAGCCCCAGCTCCCTCCGTCCCTGCCTGGCAGGGCCGCTCCATTGGCACAACCAAGCTTCGCCTGGTGGAATTCTCAGCTTTTCTGGAACAGCAGCGAGACCCAGACTCGGTGAGTGTACTCAGTTGATGTGTATCTCGAACCCAGGATTTGCTTCTTGCGCCTCTTTGTTTCCTCTCCTTTCCCCCTACCCTCATACCTGACAAATACCCTGTGTGGAAAACAGACCTGGGAAAGAAAGAAGAGCCAAGCAGCCTTTCGGTCAAGTAAAAAGAGGTTGCTACTGACAAATATGTAGAATTTTAGAACTGAACGTTTACTGCTGCTCTGGACCCCAAACTCTAGGGTATACTGGAGCTGAAGGGGAAGACCTGAAGAAGATCTTGCATTTAGTAAAATTTAAAAACAAGGTAACATTTACTGAGCTTTGTCTTGAGGCTGGTACTTTGCAAAGCTATTTAATATATGATCATATTTTATCCTCCAAAGTCCTATGAAGGTAGGTACTGTCTGGTAGATGAAGAAGCAGAGAGGTTAGGTAACTTCCCTAAAGTCACATAGTTAATATCAAATAGAGTTGAGATTCAAACTCAGGTCTTTAAAAGTCCAAAGTCTGTTTAACCATCATGCTATATTGTCTTTCCAGGTCTATGCTTTCTCAAAATAGAAAATTGTTATCTTCTTAGGGAGATTTAAAAGAAAAAAAGTACTTTAACAATTTAACATGGTATGCGATGCATTATAATATCATAAATACCAGGAACATTGGCGTCTGGACTCTATTTGTCATTTTTCTCCTTTTCCACCTCTCCCCGCCCCATCCAGTTCCCATCATCCCATTGTTCCTCAGCCAGGCCCCTCATTTCCCATACATATGTGATCTTCCCTTCTTTCCCACCCAACAGCCCAGTACCCTTTCATCACACCCACTCCTTGGCTGTGTGAGCATTACATCTGTGTGTGGGTGAACTCAAGACAGAACTGAAGGAATCATGAGCTTGTCTTTGGGATCCTCACCAGCTCCTTTCTACATTCTCTATCTCACCCCACTCCACCACTCTCAGGGGCTACCAAAAATTCATACATCCCACGTTCTATGTGTGTCTGTCAGCCTTGCTGTCATTCTGTTATCTGGAGAAAGTGCCATGAACGAGCCCAACAGTCTGTTGTAGATAACAGAGATAATAAACAATTGGGGTGACCTCTCCCAGGAGCATTTGTGCTTTAGCTCAGTGGAAAGCCTCTGATGGAAGCATGGGGGAGGTGCTGTCAGCAGAAGCCAGTGTGGAGACTCCACGAACCCATGTGTGACCCACTGGTGTCCCTGGGTCCGTAAATTGGGAACTCTGGGAACTGGTGGGAAAATAAAGCCTACTACAAAATTCGAGGCAAAAATGAGGTCATTGGGCCAAACAGTAAGAAGAGTAAGGGTTTTGAAGCCAGGGAAGAGATGGCTATTTGAGAAGACCACTCTTCTCAAGATTAACAAGAAGGGTAATGGTGATGGGTTAAAATCCCATCTATGGGGGCATTGAAACAAATAAAAAGATTACCTTTGTGATTCTACGTTTCCTATTCTTTAAGAGACTTTTTCCTGGAAAGTTTAGATGGGTCTTTGGCTGAAGGCTGGAATTTGGCCCAAATGATGGTTCTGCTTTCCATAACTCATGCTTATATAACACCTCGTTGTTTACAGAGCTTTTTGTCATTGATTACTTCATTCTATTTGCATAATGCTCCATGAAGTAGGTTCTGTGTTTCCTATTTTACAAATGAAGAAACTGAAACCCAAACACATTAAATGCTTTACTCAGGTTATTTAGCAGAACCGGGAGCCCAAATCTTCTGCTCCCATATACTCTTTTTTTTTTTTTAATATTTTATTGTGCTTTAGGTAAAAGTTTACACAGCAGATTAGATTCCTGTTCAAAAATTCATACACAGATTGTTCCATGATGTCGGTTACAGTCTCCGCAGTGTGTTAGTGCTCTCACTGTTTGCACCCTGCCTGCCTTGTTTCCATCCATCCAGTTTCCTTGCCTTCTCATCTTTGCTTTTGGGTAAATGTGGACCGTTTGGTCTCGTATAGTGGATTGTTTAAAGGAGCACATTCCTCACAGGTGTTGTTTATGTTATAAGCCAATCTATTATTTGGCTGAAAGGTGACCTCCGGGAGTGGCTTCAGTTCCAGATTAAAAGGGTATCTTAGAGCAGTAGTCTCAAGGGTTCCTCTAGTCTCTATCAGTCCAGTATGTCTGGTCTTTTTTATGAATTTGAGTTTTGTTCTACATTTTTCACCCATTCTAACTGGTACTTCTCCTGTGTCCCTGGTCAGAACAATTGATAGTGGTAGCTGGGCACCATCTAGTTCTTCTGGTCTCAGGCTAGAAGAGGCTGTGGTTCACGTGCACCATTAGTCTTGTGGACTAATTTCTTCCTTGAATCTTTGGTTTCCTTTACCTTCCTTTGCTCCAGGCAGGAAGAGAACCAGAGTTGTGTCTTAGATTGCTACTCACAAGCTTTTAAGACCCCAGATGCTACTCATCAAACTAGGATGTAGAACATTGTCTTTATGAACTAAGTTATGCCAGTTGACCTAGTTCCCCCATGTGACTATGTCCTGAGCCCTGAAACCCAGGAAATCAGTCCCAGTAGGTGTTTGGATATATCTAGGAAATACCCATAACTGTGCTCCTTATGTGCTTTATTGTATATATGAATATATATACAGCACATGCAAACGTATATACATATACCTGCAAATACATGTATATATGTACGTGCACATACTCCCATATGCCTTCCCATACCCTTATAGCATAGATATCTACCTACGTAACCATTCACATGTTTTTGCTTATTATTACTGTTGTTGCACAATTGTTTATGTTACAGCATTTACTATAGTTGTCCTTTGTTCCTGCATACCTCTCAGTGTCTTCATTTACCTTGGTCAGGTTGTGCTGACTTCCTCCATATTGTGTATTGCTTTTCCCATCATTGGAATTAACACATGTCTACTGTCTGGTAGGTGAGTCCCTCCCCCCATCCCTGCTAACCATCAAAGAACATTGTTTTCTGTGTGTATCTTATATACTCTTTTCACTACTATGAAACACCAGCTCCCAATTCTGAAGATCTCTTGAGTTTACCTTCAGTCTGAGTATCTCCTATATGAGCAAATGTGTCTACCTTTGCTTGTGACTGCTTTTTTAGGGACAGAACTCCAAGGGACTGGGAACCAAAAGCCCCAGGAAGGTAGGCATTTTCCGGGTTGAAAGACTGTGGAGGTCCCTCATTGTTAACATACTCTCTAGTCACGGACCTGTTAGGGCTCTAAGTGCCTGTCTTAGGCTGGGTTCTCTAGCAAAGCAAAACTAGTGAAGTGTATATATACATATATAGAGAGAGAGATTTCTCTCAAGGAAATGCCTCATGTGGTTGTAGAAGCTGATGAATCCCAAGATTGGTAGGTAAGCTGCTAGCTCAAGTCCCAGGAACTGGAGTTCAGATGATGATCCAGAGCAAGAGCCTTGCTGGAACATCTGTTTATATATTGGAGGCAGGCCACACCCCCAACGAAA